AAGAACAACATGGACCTGATAGAGCTGCAAGCTTAGTTGTCTTAGGATTATTTCTTCTGCATGAACATTGTAAATCTGTTCCTAAATCTATAAAGGATTCAGATATTGTGTTTTGGTTGAAAAGTCTAAATCGGTTAAGGGTAACTGATTTAGTGGGCAGCATCCTTTTGTTGCTTAGTCAAAGTCTAAGTCATCTAGAGTGGGTGGTTTAGTGGGCAACCTGTGTGTTGCTTAGTTGAATCCTAAGTTGTCTAGTGGTGATAGCTTAGTGGGCAGTGTGGCATCTGCTTAGGCTCTTCAAGTAATAGAGTTATTACTTGGTTGTGAGATTAATAACTTTTTCTCACGTTGATTGTAACTGTTGTTCGCTTTTGCTTAAGGAAGATTAGTGAAAGCAGTTGAAAATCCTGTGTGACAGGTCGTGGTTTTACTCCCTTGAGCAAGGAAGTTTCCACGTAAACTGCTTGTGTTGTGTTCTTATTATTATATACTCTTCGTTATTATTCTTGCTGAGTCAAGGGACCTGGTCCATTGACTGAGAGTGGACGCACGCATTCTATCACATGGAATTGACGAAGTGGTGTCTGCACACTCCAAATCCTCTTACTTATCATCTTGCACCATTTCAAAGCCTTATCAGCTAACAGAGCCCATCCTCTTTTCAGAACTATCTCAAAAGGGCTCGCATCAGACGTGCAGCACTCTGAGTTATATAGACCATTATCCGATGACAAAGACAGCCCTTCAAGCTTCAGCTGTGAAATATATGCCTGAAGTAGAATATTGATCTTGGCACTGGGCTCCTCAAGACTCTCTTTTATAGGAATGGGAACATGATCCAGAAGCTTCGCCAATTCCATTTTCTCATCCTGCCTTACTGTTACACATTTGAACTCCTCACTGAGAGAGAAGAGTCTACAAAGCTCAATGTCACCCATTGTTGGTTTCAAGTGCTCATTGTATGTGGAAATTGTCCCATGAGTTATGTAGTAACAGCTAGCAATGCGACCCAAGTCAGTCACCTGGAAATATCCACTCTTCCTATCATACTTAATCAGGTTGTTTTTTTCCAATAATGCAACTGCAGAATGAACCAAGTCAGCACACCTTTCCTCCAAAGCATCTTCAGTTTTGACACCAGCAGCAGCAAGACCATAAAGACTGGGATTTCGTACCATTCGAACATAGAGGTAAGTATAGAGGATCCACTTGCATGCCTCTTTGACATTCTGCACTGTCCCAAGGACAATCTCTGCATTCAACTGATCAGGCAACTTAGATATGAACTGACTTTCGATAGGAAGTTGCTGATTCATTAAAGAAAGACAATATTTCAGTGAACTGTGTCCAGTTATGATGATTCCTTCTCCATAAATGTCATATTGAGGCCTTCCAGCACGGCCAAGCATCTGCATAACATCAAGGGGACTCAGTTCAGTCCAGGCTCCTTTCTCAGGGTTGTATATCTGAGTGCCTTTTATAATGACAGTACGTGCAGGTAAATTGACACCCCAAGCTAAGGTTGCTGTTGACACCAGAACTTGCACATTGCCCTTAGCAAAGAGGTCCTCCACAAGTTGACGATCGGTCCTAACCAACCCCGCATGATGAATTGCGAAACCATATGATAAAAGATCCTTGAGATCATTGTTCTTGACAAGATCTGTGTGAGACAGAAGAATTTCTCGATTTAAACTATTCTCCTTTAAAAACTTACCTAGTGTGTCATTAGCAAGTGCAGTATCTCGTATTGCACGAGTTGTTCTGGTTGTTTCCTTCCTTGAGTGGACAAAAATAAGCACTTGCTGCTGTCCTGCCACACTGGTTACCTTCTCATAGCAAACATCATTCATCAGCTGGAATCTCTGCAACGGCTTCTTAACAGTAATTCCAATATACTGTTGAGCCAACGGGACAGGCCTGTAACTATTGTCAAAATGGAAGAGGCCTTTGTTCAGATCAACTCTCAAAAACTCTGCCACATCCTCAAAATTTGGAAGTGTCGCTGACACCCAACCAGCCGGATATGCTCTTTCGTGGTCTCAATTTGTCTGATAGTTCTAGCAATTAAACTTTCCAAAACAGGACCTCTGTTGTCATGCAGGAGATGTATCTCATCAATTATAAGAAGTTTAACAAGCTGTGTATATGTACGATCACCCGATTTTCTAGTTATGATATCCCATTTCTCCGGAGTTGTCACAATAATTTGAGTTTCTTCAATCTGTTGACGAGTTAATGACTGATCTCCACTCAATTCTTTCACAGTGACACCATAGTGTTCCAAACGCCTGGAGAGATTCCCAACTACTTCAGCAACAAGGGCTTTCTTTCATTGGCGCCACATAGACAATCTTATAATTGTTATGATTGAAAGATCCATCTTCCTTACGGTTCAATCCAATTTGATGAAGTATAGTGAGCATAGCTACATTAGTCTTGCCAGCTCCTGTGGGAGCACACAGCAAGATGTTCTCAGGAGTAAATAGGGCAGTTTCATATACTTTACTCTGCACCCTGTTCAATTGGATCATCCCAGTGAAAGCTGGTTGTGCCCACTGTGGAAGGGAAGAGATGTTCACAAGCTTTTCCACAGGAGCTAATGGCTTTGGCTTCAATGCTGGCACATGAACTTCCTCATAACCCTTCATATGATTCCTATACGATCCTGCCGGGAGCTCACAGTTTTTATTTGTCATCAACAAACCACCCTGATGGAAGGCAAGGCTGTCAAGATCGAGCAATGAACGGTGGCCCATCAACCAACCATTATCAAGATCTTCACCATCTGCACCAGATGCATCCTTAAGTCGCCTAGCTTCTTCCCTAAAGCTTTTCTCCAAATTCTTCTGTCTCTCTTTCACAGTTTCCTTAGTAGTAGCATGCAACTGTTGTAATATTGCAGTATGATCTGGCCCCAACCCCAACATCTCTTGTTCGATTTTCTTCCTCTTTTTTTGGTCTTCAGCCCTTGCGAGACGAGTACACCACACTACCTTTAGCCGGTTTCTCAGAAGATACTTGATGAGATTAAACTTGTCATATTGCAGATGCACCAGCAACTTTGTTTCCACTTCACGATCATCACCACTTTCAGCAAGAATTTTAAGAACCTCTTCAGCAAGCTTTTGACTCTGTTGCGGATCAATCTTCTGCTGCTCATAAGCTTGAGAAATCTTTCTTTGAAGCCAATAAGCATCTATATACCGAACATTCAAAGCCATCCCCTCATCAGCTTCGTGCAATATCTCATCATCAATGCCGCTGCCTGCCCATCTGCATAATGCCAGCAACATTACCTTCCAGCTGCACATACTCATCCTCTTCTTCATCATCACATTAATCAGTAATAAATCTTCCAATTGACACAAACTTATCAAATACCTGATTCGATACGGATACATTCAACACCTTCCCAATCTCCATCTTTTTTCTTATCAGAATTACCATCGTTTAGAACAGCCAAAATCTCATCAGCCGCCGCACTCATAATGTTGAGAGGCTGTCCACATAATTGATGCTGAATCAAACTGAGCATGCACTCGTAAGCATCCCCAGCTTCCTTAGTTTTCGGCTGGTAAACTCCTCCTTCCTCTTCCCTCCAATTAAGAACAGAACTTTCTTCTCCCGGAATCCTCCGTCTCTTCTTGTTCTGCATAGTGGTCTCAGAGACAACAAATCGTTCCCGCTTCTTCTTCTGAATTTTCTCCGGCAGCGAACTCCGGTAAACACGATCTCCAAACTTTTTGGGATCAATTTTCCCATACGGAGACTCAGCCTCACCGGAAGGTTCATGCAGCCCGGAATAACACACGATCGGAATCTGTCATATTCAATCGGAACTCGGAAAATCAAAAGTTACCAGCGAAGTTTTTGTTACGAATTGAGTTTTAGTGATAAACGAATTAGTTGGATGCCCATATTTATAATGCTACAAAACCCAAATTGACTAGAAGAAAGTAATTACTATGAATTAAGATTACCAAAAGCTAAACAGTTTAGTATTACTAATTATAATTCTAAAATACTTGGAGAAGAAGTAATTAATTGTTTGGAGACCAAGTTAACTAGGAACCGACCTAATTACTTTGGGATTAATCTAATTTAGATATCAAAATATTTACGTGGAGACGTTTTATTCCTATTGATAGGAGGGTTTCCTATACATTTATATGACATCAAAATTGTGATAAAATCTTTCTTGAATTCCTTGTTGAATTCTGATTGTGTATTATTTTATAACAAAAAGGGATACCTACAAAAGAAATAGGAGTCTTTGTATATTCTCTAAGGTCTCGTCCTTCGTTTTCATTAGGATTATGATATTTGAATTTGAACGATCTTTGAATAATGAAAATATTAGCTATAATTTTGAACATCAAACAACTAAGATGATTGATTTTTCAATGTGTGAATGTGCATAATTTATTAATATATAAACATAATAAATATATCATTCAAATTAAAAAGTAATTAAATATTAGAAAAATATAAATTTTATAAAATAAACTAGTTGCTTGATAAATAAAATAAAATATATGTTCGCTAATGATGATGGAGATGATTTGTAGTGGTGGACATGGTAATGATTGGTGTTAGTGACTAGTAATGATGGTTGGGAATTGGGATAGTATATATAGTTGATGTTGTAGTGACTGATGTAATAGTGTCGATTGATAATGATTGTGACGGTGAGGTTGCTTGATATTAGTAATTGGTGGTATTGATGGTGATGGTTAATAATGTATTAGTGGTAGTTAGTGTCGATTTTAGTTATTACGATGGAGATTATTGGCAGTAGAAATTGGTTGCAATGGTTGTAGTGACTCACAGTAGTAGTGGAACTGACAATAGTGATGATGGTGGTGACAATAGGTATAATAATAAAATTGCCGAAAGAGTTTCCTTTGAATTGACTATAGTAGTTGGGGTAGTGTTGGTTGCCAGTAATGATTGTGATGACAAAGATTGTTGGTGGTGATGGTAAATATATTATCGAGAAAAATGACTATATTATGGATCGCCCAAGTTGTGCTTCACAAAATCATTTGAGACTGAACTTTGTTTGAGAAATAATTTAAAAGTTATGGTTATAAGTATCATTTTGTATAACATTATATTTGTCAAAACAATGAAAATTTCAACACTAGAGACTCCTCAGTAAATTTCAGAACCTGAAAATGCAATAAGTAATTTTCTGTCCAAGTCTTTTGGTCTCCCATTTTTGTGCTGCCAAAGAAAGCTTGCATTGAGAGCCTATGTAGGAGATTTCTATGGACAGAAGATGTACACTTCAAAGAAGACCTTGATTTCATGGGAAAATCTGCAGGACTCAACATATCGGGCATACAAGCCTGAAACAAAGGTGCAGTTTGTAAGCTTCTTTGGAACGTGAGCAAAAAGAAAGAAAGAAAGGATGTGGAATTCAATGGGTGCACCTATGCTATGGGAAGCAAGGAACTATTTGGGGCACTAAAGTTGCTCAAGCCTCATGGATGGTACATAAAATCCTTAATACGCCATGGGTATTTCACCAGTCCTTGCATGAATATGGGTTGTGGTCGAGGCTATGAATCCATTGGACCTGCCAATCGAATGCATTGTAACACTCATAATGATAGCCTTTACGAAGATTCCATTGGATTCTGGAAGCTGAGGCAATTGGCTGGCATGAAGTTACCAGTATTGCAAATGGAGAAGTTCTCAATAAAACAATTATACCTGAGGATTAGAGGTGATTGCCAAAAGGTTGAGAGGAGGAAGCTAGTATGCAACAATGCTTCCAGCCCAAAATGGATCTCCTACTCTATACCTGGCCCTTCATGGCATGTTACTTACCAAAGACAGATTAGCAGGTTAGGGCTGTGTAGAAGATGTAACTTGTGCACTGTGTGGGAATGAGACAAAAACTATTCATCATTTATTCTTTACCTGTTCTTTCTCATCACAAATATGGACAAAGATCTTACAATGACAACAAATACATTGACCAACTGTAAATCAAATTCAGGAATATTACACAAATCCTTCTATTTTATCTAGCAGGAAATTGACAAGTTAGTTGTCAACAATATTAGCAAGATTATCTATACTATTAACTACTCAAAATTCTATCTATTTTGATTCCATAGCTCTACAGAATTATGAAAGGGGGAAGCGAGAGAGGGGGATATCGCAACATCTATAAGACTATACTAAATGTAATACTGGGAAAATTGAAGTTGTGATTGACATACATTTGTTTTCCCTAGCCTTGGACAACTTTACCAATAAAGTGTTCAACCCCTTTTCTCAAATAAATAGTCACCATTTTGCCTGTTAGTTAAGAAACTAGTCAAAATTATACGCTTGTTAGTTTCATTTTATCAAGCCACTTAAAATTCTATAAGGGCAGTTCTAGTAGGCTTTTCCATGACCAAATTTAGACATGTCTGTTCTTAACTTCTATTTCTCTTCTATCTGGCCATATATAAGGGTTGTATAGTAACGGTGAGGTTGGGAGAACCCTATCTTGTCCCTGAGTCCTCTACAACACAAAATTATGATCACCTCTCACACAGATAAGATAACCAAATCTCATCAAAACTTAAAATTGTACATGAAAGATGAGTTGTTCAAGATGTTTATCCCTGTGTAAGTGATTTGACAATTACAGAATGCAGAACTATTGACAAAAAGAGAGCTACTCTGGAAATAGAGAATACCGGATATAAACATAAGAATGAGAGGAATGTGCATTACTTAAGACCTAAAGAAACTTATAGCAACATGATGGGGATATTTATCTTCAGGTATCAAGAATTACCCAGAGAAACTTCCTATCACCTTGATTTTGAACTTCTCCTAGAAACTTTCATCACTTGAGTCCAACTTTAGCTATTGGGGCAAAAACTCACACGCATTTCTTCAGGAGGTGAAAGAGATGTTTCTCCTATCACCTAGATTTCAAACTTCTTGAAATTTGCTTCCAGTTGAGTGGAATTTAACTGCCAGTTGGAGAAAAAGATCACAAATAATTCTTTGGGAAGCGAAAGTGATGCATCAACAGATCTTCCTTGGATATGCCTGTGATGACACAATTAATTACAGTTCACCCTGTTAGGATGTTGGGATCCCAAGCTTGATGGGAGCAAATGGCTAGGTGGTGGTGACATATCATGGATGATACTGGCTGATCCTAATTTTTTGGAATGGATACCTTGCATGACCAATACCAACTTTCCAAACATTTCCCTATGGACTGGTGATATCATGTCACAATGAGTCAAAACATCAAGTGAACTGACAATTCCTCTTTTAACTAGTGTAGAAAGAGCTGTTGACACCCCTTTGGAGACTACCTCCTTCCTCTCAATATCATAGTTGTCAACCACAATTAGTAGGAACTCAAGAAGAGTACGGGTAACTTCAATATAATTGGGTATAGAGTTCAACATCAAAAGAATTGCAGGCTCAATGTTCATTACATTATCAGTGATTTCATCATAGAAAAGCCAATCATAAAACAATGCAAGCTTCAAGTTTGCTTCGACATAACTCTTCCTGCATGACGTCAATAACCAACCAACCACAGCCCATCTGGGTAAGATATCTGGTTGCATTATTTCACTGGATGGATGAACTGAACAGCATATAAACCTAACAATGTCGATTAAAATGACTTCACTCCCAGGTACTCCGAGGAACTTCTTAGCGAACCAAACCTGGTACCTCTTTTGACTACCCAACTTGACATTTGTAAGCAAAAACCTCAATTTTGTTTCCATTTCAGGAGTTACTCGAAGCAAAAAGTACGAACTTGGAGTTTTTGTGTGGTAAATTTGTGAAATATCTCTAAATCCATCCACCCCAAACTGTCTAGGATTCAATAACAAGTCTTTCCATATGGCTTTAAACTCAGGTATATGAACCAAGTCTTGCAAAAGCCTAATTAAGTCCCTCCCTATCTTCAAACACAAAAGAAATTGTTCCCTCAAAAGTCGAACACAGTATACAACCTCCATTCTCTTCAATCCATCAACCATTGGATTACTTGGTACTCTATAATGATCCGCCAATAATCGAAGGAACACATACAACCCCTTGTTCAAAATCAATGGTTCTTCCTCTAATAAACAATCCCAATTGGCTAAAAACAGTGCAACCATCTCCAAACACAACCACAAATTTCCCTCACTAAAATCCCCACCTACAATTTGCCTTAAAAGAGCCACCAACAATTTATCAAATCCTATAGCCAATACATTCAACATCTCTTTAGTAACCCATATAAGCTGAATTTTCACCGAGTCGAGCAATTTTGCATACAATTCATCAACAATCTTGACAAGCATACAAGTAAAGAAATCATACCCATCAATAATAATTGCATGTAGGTGCTTAATATGAACTTCAGCCAAATTGGGTTGGGATAAAATGCCAAAAATTATAGCTTTATTCAGGTTTGAGTATTCCTCTTGTGTTAGCACTTTTAAGGTAAAAGGTGGGTTTAGTTGGGGTTTAAGAAGTTCAAAAGCTTCTCTAAAAGACACTTCAATTGGATTTTCAGCTTCATGGATTCCTCTTTCAGTAAGCTTTAAGGCCATTAATAGTGAATGAATCACAATAGATGCAAGATGAAACACCAAAAACAGCTACATAAGCGTACCTTACACTATTTTTTTCAGAAACAAATTTAGGACCTTGCTGATCGAGTTGCTGGGTGCTTCGCCGGAAAATAACCACCGGCGGGGAGGTAAGCGGCGGTTGTATAGGTCCTGCAAATTGCCGTCGGCCCAAATACCTAAATATATTATTATTTGGGTCACTCTTAGGGTGTGTTTGGCATGAAGGAAAACATTTTTCGAAAAATGTTTTTCAATTTTCTCATGTTTGGTCGGGTTAAATGTTTTGAAAAATATTTTCCAAATCAACTCATTTTCCTCAAATTTAAGGAAAATGACTTCCCTTCAAAACTTATGAAAAACATTTTCCAAAACTCTCTTTCAACTTCAAATTACAATTATTTTTTTGTTGAAAAAATTAATTTATTTTGTCCCTATCCTCAAACAT